TAACCTTCTGTGGGACTCTAACCCTTCTGTGGGACTCTAACCCTTCTGTGGGACTTTAACCCTTCTGTGGGACTTTAACCCTTCTGTGGGCACCTTCTGTGGCCTCTAACCCTTCTGTGGGCTTAACCTTCTCTAACCCTTCTGTGGGACTCTAACCCTTCTGTGGGACTCTAACCCTTGTGGGACTCTCTGTGGGACTCTAACCCTTCTGTGGGACTTTAACCCTTCTGTGGGACTTTAACCCTTCTGTGGGCCTCTAACCCTTCTGTGGGCCTCTAACCCTTCTGTGGGACTTTAACCCTTCTGTGGGCCTCTAACCCTTCTGTGGGACTTTAACCCTTCTGTGGGACTCTAACCCTTCTGTGGGACTCTAACCCTTCTGTGGGACTCTAACCCTTCTGTGGGACTTTAACCCTTCTGTGGGACTCTAACCCTTCTGTGGGACTTTAACCCTTCTGTGGGACTCTAACCCTTCAGTGGGACTTTAACCCTTCTGTGGGACTTTAACCCTTCTGTGGGACTTTAACCCTTCTGTGGGACTTTAACCCTTCTGTGGGACTTTAACCCTTCTGTGGGACTCTAACCCTTCTGTGGGACTTTAACCCTTCTGTGGGACTTTAACCCTTCTGTGGGACTTTAACCCTTCTGTGGGACTCTAACCCTTCTGTGGGACTCTAACCCTTCTGTGGGACTCTAACCCTTCTGTGGGACTTTAACCCTTCTGTGGGACTTTAACCCTTCTGTGGGACTTTAACCCTTCTGTGGGACTTTAACCCTTCTGTGGGACTTTAACCCTTCTGTGGGACTCTAACCCTTCTGTGGGACTTTAACCCTTCTGTGGGACTTTAACCCTTCTGTGGGACTCTAACCCTTCTGTGGGACTTTAACCCTTTTCCTCTGCAGGTAGCTAACTTCTCTTCAATACAATCTTATCTATAGATACAACATTTGGCAGACCCCAAAAACAGACCACAATTTAGCTTACTCAATGAGGCAGACTTTGAATTAACAGGTGTCCGCTTACCTTATTCTTGTCAAACAGGTGCGCACGGGCTGTCCGAGAGGTCTGCCAACTCTTTTCCGCGTCGGAAAATTCAATTTAAACACAAAACAGAGAAAGTGAGGGAGCAAGAGCAAGCCCATCCAAAAGCGAGCCCTTTCAGCGTCCACTGGGATTTCTCCCCTTCCAGATAACGTGCTGTTGCTCCCACACGCCGAAAAAAAGAAACAGAGGAAATTCCCTCAAAACAATCCAGAGAATGGCACACACGGAGCCGCGCATTCTCCACCAAATCTGTTAGGATTCAAGCAGACAGAGACGGATCGTGGTGCGCCAAACTCTGGAAGTTTATTTAAGTTTCTCTCAAGTTCCACTGGTTTCCTCTGTTTCTTCCTCTCAGACAGAATAAAGGCAGTACACAGTTTATATAGTCATTGTCACGTCACACATCGAAAGACATACGTGTCACAAAGAGACAGTCACATCATAGTCATAACATGGAGTCCTTGTAGAGTCCTTGTAGAGTCCTGCACGTAGGCCATATTGCTATCTAATACTAATAGTCCCTTGGACAAGACACCCAACCCTGCTTTGCCTGAAGCCCCTGCTGAAAGATCAAGGCTCCTGTGGACTTATCACCTGCAGGAGGATCAGTGAGGGTGCTATGTGAACTGAGAGCCAACTTGTTTTCAGTAATACGCATGTTTATGAACTCATTCTTGTGTTTCATAAACCTGGCCTGTAGGGGGCGCATGAGCAGAGGTGGGACAGTGTTGCTCCCAGTGAAAACCATGTAAAGTCTGTTTTGGAGCCAAAGGCTCTCCTCCTGTGCGGTGTACGGTTGTTGGAACAGTCTTAATCGGGGACACTCAATTCTAAGAAAGTACTAACAAATATTTCTCAAAAGAGTCTTGATTTTTGAAAAATAAAACCAGAAGAAATGGCTGTGTTTCATTGGGGTGGCCTGCAGGGGGCGCTTATCTGGGAAAGCCTTGATCCACCTCCGCCTCATTCCAGTGATTTTTTCAAAGTGTCCTCCTTTATATGAGACCACAGTTGGAACATGAACAAACTCTGTTTTTCTCTATTTGCACGTTTGCTACCAGTGTGGGCGGGTCCCAGCTCAAAAGTGTCCAAAATGACGTGCGCTGACATGCTGCAATACCACCCCGGGCCTGTGGGGGTGGACCCTGACATGCTGCAGTACCACCCCGGGCGGATGGGGGTGGACCCTGACATGCTGCAGTACCACCCCGGGCCTGTGGGGGTGGACCCTGACATGCTGCAGTACCACCCCGGGCCTGTGGGGGTGGACCCTGACATGCTGCAGTACCACCCCGGGCCTGTGGGGGTGGACCCTGACATGCTGCAGTACCACCCCGGGCCTGTGGGGGTGGACCCTGACATGCTGCAGTACCACCCCGGGCCTGTGGGGGTGGACCCTGACATGCTGCAGTACCACCCCGGGCCTGTGGGGGTGGACCCTGAAATGCTGCAGTACCACCCCGGGCCTGTGGGGGTGGACCCTGACATGCTGCAGTACCACCCCGGGCCTGTGGGGTGGACCCTGACATGCTGCAGTACCACCCCGGGCCTGTGGGGGTGGACCCTGACATGCTGCAGTACCACCCCGGGCCTGTGGGGGTGGACCCAGACATGCTGCAGTACCACCCCGGGCCTGTGGGGGTGGACCCAGAATAAGAATTAGCCAATGCTAACATATAGCATCTTCTGACCTCTGGAAAACGTCTTTACAGGATGGTCCAGTGTCTCTTGGCCCAAAGCTCCGTTCCACATGTGTGTCAATGCTGAGTGTTCTGGACCAGTCTAGTTTAGTCGCTGTGGACTTTAGAAGTCTCTCGTTTAAATGAATGGAGCTCTTTCCGGCTGACGCATGCACAGATGTGTTTTTTCACAATTTTCTTGTGGGCGGTAAGTGTGACTATATTAATATAGTCACACTTATAATGTTAATAATTACTGTTAATAATAATGTTAATATTTACAGTCTATGGTTGCTGCAAGCGTACACCGCACAAAAAGATGGCATTTTGACAGCGCTTCTTCTTCTACTATATCTCCGTGTATAAACCGCTTCTTCTTCTACTATATCTCCGTGTATAAACCGCTTCTTCTTCTACTATATCTCCGTGTATAAACCGCTTCTTCTTCTACTATATCTCCGTGTATAAACCGCTTCTTCTTCTACTATATCTCCGTGTATAAACCGCTTCTTCTTCTACTATATCTCCGTGTATAAACCCGGCAGACTGCACCGCCAGGATACGTCACATCCTGTGCTACGTTTGTTATTCTCCACTGCCCTGACGTCATATGGAACCCAAGAATTAGAAAATCAATTGTGTTTAGCTTCTTTAAGGCTGTATAACATTGACACACTTCATGGCCACGTATCTGTGGTGTCCATGAATCACTCAGCGGCGCTCAGCTGCCCTGGTGACAGGGAGGAGGAGGGTTGAGGCACAAGCTGAAGATTCAGATTCATTTTATTAGCCATGTGCAGTATAAAAACTACATTGGAATACATTCTCAAAGGTACTCTGTGTGCACCGACAGAATAAAAAGCACAATACAATGTAATATAAAATACACATACACTGAATATAAAAGAATAAAAAAACAGCTGACACTGTGGCACCGATCAACAAAACGATACAAGGGGTAAAAGCAGGAATTAAAGTGCTCTGTTTAGGCACCTAACAGCCTGTGGAAAGAAGCTGTTAGCATAGCGAGATGTCTTGCATCTCAGCGACCGATATCTTCTGCCAGAGGGAAGAAGCTGGAACATGGCTTTCCCAGGGTGGCCAGAAGAGTCATTAACAATCCTAAGAGCTTTGTTTAAAAGTCTGGATTTGTAAAGAACCTCCAGAACAGGAAGTTCACAGCCCACGGTCCTCTTTGCAGAGCGGAGCACCTTGTTTAAAGCTCTCTTTTCTTTATCTGTGATGTTTCCAAACCACACAGACACAGAACCAACAAGTAAACTCTCAATGGTGCAGCCATAAAAGTTCAGCAGAATCTTAGAGTTAGTGGTAAATTCTCTAAGTTTCCCACAACACTCTTGTGAAAATCAAGAATGATTTGTGTTGTCATTGGAAGTAACAGGAAGTCACCAACTATAGGGATTTGTCGTGGCTCATGTTCAGACAAGTTTAAAAAGTAAATACAGTAAGTCATGCATACAAACATCTTCATAAAATAAATGATCTCTGTGTGTGTGCGTGTGTCTCTGTGTGTGTGTGTGTGCGTCTCTGTGTGTGTGTGTGCGTCTGTGTGTGTGTGTGTGTGCGTCTCTCTGTGTGTGTGTGCGTCTCTCTGTGTGTGTGTGTGTGCGTCTCTGTGTGTGTGTGCGTCTCTCTGTGTGTGTATGCGTCTCTCTGTGTGTGTGTGTGTGCGTCTGTGTGTGTGTGTGTGCGTCTCTGTGTGTGTGTGTGTGCGTCTCTGTGTGTGTGTGTGTGTGTGCGTCTGTGTGTGTGTGTCTCTCTGTGTGTGTGTGTGTCTCTGTGTGTGTGTGTGTGCGTCTCTCTGTGTGTGTGTGTGTGCGTCTCTGTGTGTGTGTGTGCGTCTCTGTGTGTGTGTGTGTGTGTGCGTCTCTGTGTGTGTGTGTGTGTGTGTGTGTGCGTCTCTCTGTGTGTGTGTGTGTGTGTGTTTGTGTGTGTGTGTCTCTGTGTGTGTCTCTGTGTGTGTGTGTGTGTGTGTCTCTGTGTGTGTGTGTGTGTCTCTGTGTGTGTGTGTGTGTGCGTCTCTGTGTTCGTGTGTGTGTGTGCGTCTCTGTGTGTGTGTGTGTGTGTGTGTTTGTGTGTGTGTGTCTCTGTGTGTGTGTGTGTCTCTGTGTGTGTGTCTCTGTGTGTGTGTGTGTGCGTCTGTGTGTGTGTGTGTGTGTGCGTCTCTGTGTTCGTGTGTGTGTGTGCGTCTCTGTGTGTGTGTGTGTGTTTGTGTGTGTGTGTGTGTGTCTCTGTGTGTGTGTGTGTGTCTGCAGCTCCTCGATGGGTGGAGAGTGAAAAGTCCCGTGAGTCTAAGAAGTTGACACTGAGTGATTATTACGAGGCGTTGCTGCTGCTGCCGCCGCACATGTCCCGCTGCTCCGCTCTCTGCAACTTCTTCAGGGTCCGAGTGGAGGACGAGAACCCACAAGGAACCAACACGTGAGACCTTTATGGTTCTCTGCACTAAGGGATTAGTTCAAATGACTGCTGCGGTCCCTCTCTGGTCTCTCTCTGGTCTCTCTCTCTGGTCTCTCTCTGGTCTCTCTCTGGTCTCTCTCTCTGGTCTCTCTCTCTGGCCTCTCTCTGGTCTCTCTCTGGTCCCTCTCTGGTCTCTCTTTGGTCTCCCTCTGATCTCCCTCTGATCTCTCTCTGGTCTCTCTCTGGTCTCTCTCTGGTCTCTCTCTGGTCTCTCTCTGGTCTCTCTCTGGTCTCTCTCTGGTCTCTCTCTGGTCTCTCTCTGGTCTCTCTCTGGTCTCTCTCTCTGGTCTCTCTCTCTGGTCTCTCTCTGGTCTCTCTCTGGTCTCTCTCTGGTCCCTCTCTCTGGTCTCTCTCTGGTCTCTCTCTGGTCTCTCTCTGGTCTCTCTCTGGTCTCTCTCTCTCTGGTCTCTCTCTCTGGTCTCTCTCTCTGGTCTCTCTCTCTGGCCTCTCTCTGGTCTCTCTCTGGTCTCTCTCTGGTCTCTCTTTGGTCTCCCTCTGATCTCCCTCTGATCTCTCTCTGGTCTCTCTCTGGTCCCTTAGCAAAGACAATACACACACCATAATAAGTATTACTTTATTAACATTAATGAAAACGATTATTGAACTATTTTCTCTTTTCAGACTGAAAAACAACAAGACACTCGTTGAATCCCAAGAGAAGACTAGAGCCAACGCGTCTGGTGAGAGTCTCTGCCTCAGCCTCTGCCTCTGCCTCTGTCTCTGCCTCTGCCTCTGTCTCTGTCTCTGTCTCTGCCTCTGCCTCTGTCTCTGTCTCTGCCTCTGCCTCTGCCTCTGCCTCTGCCTCTGCCTCTGCCTCTGCCTCTGCCTCTGTCTCTGTCTCTGTCTCTGCCTCTGCCTCTGTCTCTGCCTCTGTCTCTGTCTCTGCCTCTGCCTCTGCCTCTGTCTCTGCCTCTGCCTCTGCCTCTGTCTCTGTCTCTGTCTCTGTCTCTCTGCCTCTGCCTCTGTCTCTGCCTCTGCCTCTGTCTCTGCCTCTGCCTCTGCCTCTGTCTCTGCCTCTGTCTCTGTCTCTGTCTCTGCCTCTGCCTCTGCCTCTGTCTCTGCCTCTGTCTCTGCCTCTGTCTCTGTCTCTCTGCCTCTGCCTCTATCTCTGTCTATGTCTCTGTCTCTGTCTCTGTCTCTGTCTCTGTCTCTGTCTCTGCCTCTGCCTCTGCCTCTGTCTCTGTCTCTGCCTCTGCCTCTGCCTCTGTCTCTGTCTCTGTCTCTGTCTCTGCCTCTGCCTCTGTCTCTGCCTCTGCCTCTGCCTCTGTCTCTGTCTCTGTCTCTGCCTCTGCCTCTGCCTCTGTCTCTGTCTCTGTCTCTGCCTCTGCCTCTGTCTCTGCCTCTGCCTCTGCCTCTGTCTCTGTCTCTGTCTCTGCCTCTGTCTCTGTCTCTGCCTCTGCCTCTGCCTCTGTCTCTGTCTCTGTCTCTGCCTCTGCCTCTGTCTCTGCTTCTGCCTCTGCCTCTGTCTCTGTCTCTGTCTCTGTCTCTGTGCCTCTGCCTCTGTCTCTGCCTCTGCCTCTGTCTCTGCCTCTGCCTCTGCCTCTGTCTCTGCCTCTGTCTCTGTCTCTGTCTCTGCCTCTGCCTCTGCCTCTGTCTCTGCCTCTGCCTCTGCCTCTGTCTCTGTCTCTGTCTCTGTCTCTGTCTCTGCCTCTGCCTCTGCCTCTGTCTCTGTCTCTGTCTCTGCCTCTGCCTCTGTCTCTGCCTCTGCCTCTGCCTCTGCCTCTGTCTCTGCCTCTGTCTCTGCCTCTGCCTCTGTCTCTGCCTCTGTCTCTGCCTCTGTCTCTGTCTCTCTGCCTCTGCCTCTATCTCTGTCTATGTCTCTGTCTCTGTCTCTGTCTCTGCCTCTGCCTCTGCCTCTGTCTCTGCCTCTGTCTCTGTCTCTGCCTCTGCCTCTGCCTCTGCCTCTGTCTCTGCCTCTGTCTCTGTCTCTGCCTCTGCCTCTGCCTCTGCCTCTGCCTCTGCCTCTGCCTCTGTCTCTGTCTCTGTCTCTGTCTCTGCCTCTGCCTCTGCCTCTGCCTCTGTCTCTGTCTCTGTCTCTGCCTCTGCCTCTGTCTCTGCCTCTGCCTCTGCCTCTGCCTCTGCCTCTGCCTCTGTCTCTGTCTCTGTCTCTGTCTCTGCCTCTGCCTCTGCCTCTGTCTCTGCCTCTGCCTCTGCCTCTGCCTCTGCCTCTGCCTCTGCCTCTGCCTCTGTCTCTGTCTCTGCCTCTGCCTCTGCCTCTGCCTCTGTCTCTGCCTCTGTCTCTGTCTCTGCCTCTGCCTCTGCCTCTGCCTCTGCCTCTGCCTCTGCCTCTGTCTCTGCCTCTGTCTCTGCCTCTGTCTCTGTCTCTGTCTCTGCCTCTGCCTCTGCCTCTGCCTCTGTCTCTGTCTCTGCCTCTGTCTCTGTCTCTGCCTCTGCCTCTGCCTCTGTCTCTGCCTCTGTCTCTGCCTCTGTCTCTGTCTCTCTGCCTCTGCCTCTATCTCTGTCTATGTCTCTGTCTCTGTCTCTGTCTCTGTCTCTGTCTCTCTGCCTCTGCCTCTGCCTCTGCCTCTGTCTCTGTCTCTGTCTCTGTCTCTGCCTCTGCCTCTGTCTCCGCCTCTGCCTCTGCCTCTGTCTCTGCCTCTGCCTCTGCCTCTGCCTCTGTCTCTGCCTCTGCCTCTGCCTCTGTCTCTGTCTCTGTCTCTGCCTCTGCCTCTGTCTCCGCCTCTGCCTCTGTCTCTGCCTCTGTCTCTGCCTCTGCCTCTGCCTCTGTCTCTGCCTCTGTCTCTGCCTCTGTCTCTCTCTCTGCCTCTGTCTCTGCCTCTGCCTCTGTCTCTGCCTCTGCCTCTGTCTCTGCCTCTGTCTCTGTCTCTGTCTCTGCCTCTGCCTCTGTCTCTGCCTCTGCCTCTGCCTCTGCCTCTGCCTCTGCCTCTGTCTCTGTCTCTGCCTCTGTCTCTGCCTCTGCCTCTGTCTCTGCCTCTGTCTCTGCCTCTGCCTCTGTCTCTGTCTCTGCCTCTGCCTCTGCCTCTGTCTCTGCCTCTGCCTCTGTCTCTGTCTCTGCCTCTGCCTCTGCCTCTGTCTCTGTCTCTGCCTCTGCCTCTGCCTCTGCCTCTGTCTCTGCCTCTGTCTCTCTCTCTGCCTCTGTCTCTGCCTCTGCCTCTGTCTCTCTCTGTGGACGTGACCTTCTTGCTTCGTTCTTTTTGTTTCTACATCTGGAAAGTTTCTCCATAAGACTTTTGTAACATTGTTTCTCATTTACTTCTTGTGTAAAGACTGCTTCTTGTCGTGTGTTTTTCTCATCTGTTTCAGTGAGACATGAAGAAATATTGGACTGTGGTTTTATAAAAGTAACAATGTGTGTTTTTATTTGGACATTCAAAGACTCTTCACGTTATTATTCAGATTCAGATTCATTTGCCATTTGCAGTAAAACCACATTGGAATAAAAGTACAATAGTCCCCTGGTTTGCACCTGACGAGTACATAACATTCACTCCATATACACTGGTGATAAACTACTCTTGCCACAGCTGCCCTGGGGCACACTGACCGAAGCGAGGCAACCAGTCTCTGCCATCGGCCCCTCCCTCCACCACCAACCACTCACACACACACCAGACTCATTCTAATGTGGGGGAAGTGTCTTACCCAAGGACACAGCCACAGTCTGGCACTTTACAGCCGCCACTGTGGCACCTGCTGTTCCCAGAGGTCTCCCATCAAAGCACTAACCAGGTCCTTCCCTACTTAGCTTCAGCGGTTTTATTTGTTTAAATGTGATTCCAGAGATTTCAGGTCCGATCATCTTGGACACGTATCGAGCGATCGCAGACTTCACCAAAACGTCCAAACACGAGATAAACCTCCGCGGCGGAGACTTGGTGGAGATCATTGAGAAGAATCCCAACGGTGAGACAAGCAGGAGATAAGACCTATTTTAATTCTGTTATTGCTAGAGTCTGTCTTGGTCCTGGTTCAATCTGGGCCGAGCTGGTACTAAAGTGTTCTAACTGACTGCTAAGCCATGGTGACCAAGGAAATTCCCGGATCCTGGTTTGTTGTGGGGAGGTTGAAAGGATAAGGACGTAACCAGTTTGGAAAGATGGACTGTTGGAGAAACCCTGGTGTGCAGCAGCAGCAACACAAACATCAAAACATCATTCTAAAAGTTCCCACCAATAATACAGACCTCTGAGAGCACCTACAGTTTGTATCACTGTTTCTATCATACATACTTCTCTCATGTAAACTGTGTGTCCCTCAGGATGGTGGTTCTGTCAGCTGGAGACTAAACACGGCTGGGTCCCGGCTTCATATCTGGAACCTTTAGACCGACCCGAAGAAGAGGAGGAGCCAGAGCCGGACTACGAAGGTCTGTATACATGTATACTGAGACAGTCTGTATACTGAGACAGAGGTGTGTATGTATACTGAGACAGTCTGTATGTATACTGAAACAGTCTGTATGTATACTGAGACAGTCTGTATGTATACTGAGACAGTCTGTATGTATACTGAGACAGAGGTCTGTATGTATACTGAGACAGAGGTCTGTATGTATACTGAGACAGAGGTCTGTATGCATACTGAAACAGAGGTCTGTATGTATACTGAGACAGTCTGTATGTATACTGAGACAGAGGTCTGTATGTATACTGAGACAGTCTGTATGTATACTGAGACAGAGGTATGTATGTATACTGAGACAGTCTGTATGTATACTGAGACAGAGGTCTGTATGTATACTGAGACAGAGGTATGTATGTATACTGAGACAGTCTGTATGTATACTGAGACAGAGGTCTGTATGTATACTGAGACAGAGGTCTGTATGTATACTGAGACAGTCTGTATGTCTACTGAGACAGTCTGTATGTATACTGAGACAGAGGTCTGTATGTATACTGAGACAGTCTGTATGTATACTGAGACAGGTCTGTATGTATACTGAGACAGAGGTCTGTATGTATACTGAGACAGTCTGTATGTATACTGAGACAGTCTGTATGTATACTGAGACAGAGGTGTGTATGTATACTGAGACAGTCTGTATGTATACTGAGACAGTCTGTTTGTATACTGAAACAGTCTGTATGTATACTGAGACAGTCTGTATGTATACTGAGACAGAGGTCTGTATGTATACTGAGACAGAGGTCTGTATGTATACTGAGACAGTCTGTATGTCTACTGAGACAGTCTGTATGTATACTGAGACAGAGGTCTGTATGTATACTGAGACAGTCTGTATGTATACTGAGACAGGTCTGTATGTATACTGAGACAGGTCTGTATGTATACTGAGACAGAGGTCTGTATGTATACTGAGACAGAGGTCTGTATGTATACTGAGACAGTCTGTATGTATACTGAGACAGTCTGTATGTATACTGAGACAGAGGTGTGTATGTATACTGAGACAGTCTGTATGTATACTGAGACAGTCTGTATGTATACTGAAACAGTCTGTATGTATACTGAGACAGTCTGTATGTATACTGAGACAGTCTGTATGTATACTGAGACAGAGGTCTGTATGTATACTGAGACAGAGGTCTGTATGTATACTGAGACAGAGGTCTGTATGCATACTGAAACAGAGGTCTGTATGTATACTGAGACAGAGGTCTGTATGTATACTGAGACAGTCTGTATGTATACTGAGACAGAGGTCTGTATGTATACTGAGACAGTCTGTTTGTATACTGAAACAGTCTGTATGTATACTGAGACAGTCTGTATGTATACTGAGACAGAGGTCTGTATGTATACTGAGACAGTCTGTATGTATACTGAGACAGTCTGTATGTATACTGAGACAGTCTGTATGTATACTGAGACAGAGGTCTGTATGTATACTGAGACAGAGGTCTGTATGTATACTGAGACAGTCTGTATGTCTACTGAGACAGTCTGTATGTATACTGAGACAGAGGTCTGTATGTATACTGAGACAGTCTGTATGTATACTGAGACAGGTCTGTATGTATACTGAGACAGAGGTCTGTATGTATACTGAGACAGTCTGTATGTATACTGAGACAGAGGTCTGTATGTATACTGAGACAGAGGTCTGTATGCATACTGAGACAGAGGTCTGTATGTATACTGAGACAGAGGTCTCTATGTATACTGAAACAGTCTGTATGTATACTGAGACAGAGGTCTGTATGTATACTGAGACAGAGGTCTCTATGTATACTAAAACAGTCTGTATGTATACTGAGACAGCGGTCTGTATGTATACTGAGACAATCTGTATGTATACTGAGACAGTCTGTATGTATACTGAGACAGTCTCTATGTATACTGAGACAGTCTGTATGTATACTGAGACAGAGGTCTGTATGTATACTGAGACAGTCTGTATGTATACTGAGACAGTCTGTATGTATACTGAGACAGTCTGTGTGTATACTGAGACACAGGTCTGTATGGATACTGAGACAGAGTATGTATACTGAGACAGAGGTATGTATACTGAGACAGAGGTATGTATACTGAGACAGTATGTATATTGATACAGAGGTATTTATACTGAGACAGAGTATGTATACTGAGACAGAGGTATGTTTACTGAGACAGAGGTATGTATGTATACTGAGACAGATTATGTATACTGAGACAGAGGTATGTATGTATACTGAGACAGTATGTATACTGAGACAGAGGTATGTATACTGAGACAGAGTATGTATACTGAGACAGGGGTATGTATACTGAGACAGAGGTATGTATACTGAGACAGATTATGTATACTGAGACAGATTATGTATACTGAGACAGAGTATGTATACTGAGACAGAGTATGTATACTGAGACAGAGGTATGTATGTATACTGAGACAGAGGTATGTATACTGAGACAGATTATGTATACTGAGACAGAGGTATGTATACTGAGACAGAGGTCTGTATGTATACTGAGACAGAGGTATGTATACTGAGACAGAGTATGTATACTGAGACAGATTATGTATACTGAGACAGAGGTATGTATACTGAGACAGAGTATGTATACTGAGACAGATTATGTATACTGAGACAGAGGTATGTATGTATACTGAGACAGATTATGTATACTGAGACAGAGGTATGTGTGTATACTGAGACAGAGGTATGTATACTGAGACAGTATGTATATTGATACAGAGGTATGTATACTGAGACAGAGTATGTATACTGAGACAGAGGTATGTATACTGAGACAGAGGTATGTATGTATACTGAGACAGATTATGTATACTGAGACAGAGGTATGTATGTTTACAGAGACAGAGGTCTGTATGTATACTGAGACAGAGTATGTATACTGAGACAGATTATGTATACTGAGACAGAGGTCTGTATGTATACTGAGACAGAAGTATGTATGTATACTGAGACAGATTACGTATGCTGAGACAGATTTATGTATGTATACTGAGACAGAGGTATGTATACTGAGACAGAGTATGTATACTGAGACAGAGGTATGTTTACTGAGACAGAGGTATGTATGTATACTGAGACAGTATGTATACTGAGACAGAGGTATGTATACTGAGACAGAGTATGTATACTGAGACAGGGGTATGTATACTGAGACAGAGGTATGTATACTGAGACAGATTATGTATACTGAGACAGATTATGTATACTGAGACAGAGTATGTATACTGAGACAGAGTATGTATACTGAGACAGAGGTATGTATGTATACTGAGACAGAGGTCTGTATGTATACTGAGACAGATTATGTATACTGAGACAGAGGTATGTATACTGAGACAGAGGTCTGTATGTATACTGAGACAGAGGTATGTATACTGAGACAGAGTATGTATACTGAGACAGATTATGTATACTGAGACAGAGGTATGTATACTGAGACAGAGGTATGTATACTGAGACAGAGTATGTATACTGAGACAGATTATGTATACTGAGACAGAGGTATGTATACTGAGACAGAGTATGTATACTGAGACAGATTATGTATACTGAGACAGAGGTATGTACACTGAGACAGAGGTATGTATACTGAGACAGTCTCTCTGATTGACAGGAGAACTCTACATCACTACACAGTCGTACGAAGCCGAACAGGACGATGAGATTTCTCTGGAGATCGGAGAAACCATCGTCGTGATCCACAAACTGCTGGACGGGTGGTGGGTGGTGAGGTGAGAGTGTGACATCACCACACTGAGATATAGTAGAAGAAGAAGCGGTTTATACACAGAGATATAGTAGAAGAAGAAGCATCTTTTTGTGCGGTGTACGCTTGTAGCAACCGCACAAATAGAGAAAGACAGAGTTTGTTCATGTTCCAACTGTGGTCTCATATAAAGGAGGACACTTTGAAAAAGTCACTGGAATGAGGCGGAGGTGGATCAAGGCTTTCCTAGATAAGCGCCCCCTGCAGGCCACCCCAAAGAAACGCAGACATTTCTTTTGTTATATTTCCCAAAAATGCCCGAAATCAAGACTCTTTTGAGAAATATTTGTTAATACTCCCTTAGAATTGAGTGTCCCCGATTAAGACTGTTCCAACAACCGTACACCGCACAGGAGGAGAGCCTTTGGCTCCAAAACAGACTTTACATGGTTTTCACTGGGAGCAACACTGTCCCACCTCTGCTCATGCGCCCCCTACAGGCCAGGTTTATGAAACACAAGATAGAAGTAATTTGTAGCAGCAGTGAATTAGCATCAAAGTGTGGGATGTATTTTGGTTTTTAAGTCTTGATTCTTCTAGTGCATCTGTATGTAGAGTTTTATGTGAGTCTAATCGTCTACAGTTGTGTGTATTAGTGTGTATGTGTGTGTTGTTTCTCCTGATGCCAGTGTCACAGTGTGTTATCGTTACAGAAAGCAGCAGGAGACCGGACACTTCCCGTCCATGTTTCTACAGAGAGCTGGAAAAAAGGCAGCGTTAGAACAGATCAACCCTCTGGGCTCCAAGCTGCCTCCACGAAGGTACAGGGTCCACATATTCACTCCTTATGCAGTCCTGAGAGACAGAGTCCCTCTGGGTCCTGGGTCTTCCCCGGGGCCACCTCCGGTGGGATGTGCCCGGACCCCTCTCCAGGGAGGCATCCGGAATAGATGCCCGAGCCACCTCAACTGGTTCCTCTCGACGTGGAGATGCAGCAGCTCTACTCCGAGCTCCTCCCATGTCACTGAGCTCCTCTATCTCTAAGGGAGCAGCAGCTCTACTCCGAGCTCCTCCCGTGTGACTGAGCTCCTCTGGGAGCGCCCAGCCACTCTGCGGAGGAAGCTCATTTCGACGCTTGTATGGACTAGAGGTGAGGGAGCTCTGACTGCAGACGCTGCTCCCTCATGACCAGAGGTGAGGGAGGGAACGAAGATTGACTGGTAAATCGAGAGCTTTGCTTTTCGGCTCAGCTCCATCTTCACCACAACGGTCCGATACAGCTCTGACTGCAGACGCTGCTCCCTTTCACGCTGCACCGATCCGCCTTCAATCTTACGATCCATCCTTCCCTCACTGAGAAGGGAAGGATGGAGAGGACCATGGTCTTGGATTTGAAGGTTCTGATTCTCATCCAAAACATGCACTTTTTATTTTATTTTTTGATATGGGAGGTGTTGGTTTGGGTGTACTGCCTTTAACGTCCAGCAGGGGGAGCCCTCAGGGAGTGACTGCTGTGTTTCTGTGCAGGTCGACCATCAGAAACGCCCGCAGCATCCACAGCCGCTCAAAGCCCAGTCTATCGCAGGACGTGTACCGCAGGAACAGCCGCCGCTTCCTACAGCAGAAGAACAGCGCTCTGTCGCCACGGAAACACTCCCTCGGAAACGCCAGGTCGCCGCTACGAGAGGCGCCAAGTCAAGGTGACCACGAGCACCGACACGGTCTCTGCGAACGCACTACAGGACACTGCACTCAAATCATAGAATTATAATGAGGACAATACTACACTTGATTAGTCAGACTTTAAAGGAGCAGTGAGTATAAACGTAGATGCTAATGTGATGTTTGTTGCAGCCGCCGTCCCAGAGGTGAGTTCCGACTCGGAGCAGAAGAAGCCGGTTCCGGTGGTTCCTCCCAGACCCAGTGCGGAGCTGATTCTGCAGCAATGCACCGACAAAACCCGGCAACGGATCGGACTCCACAGCGCCACCACAACCTCCGTCAGCTGAACTACACCCGAGGGAAGCAGCCGCCTGAAGAACAAGTCTCACTGATGACACACAATCTTCACAGACAACACAAAAAGATTAAAAAAACATCACATATTTTTAGTATAGGTTAAAAATACTGAAATAAATGAAATACAGTTGTGGAAATGAGCGAAAGTTTTAGAAGGTTATTTTTCCACCAAGAGAAGATATATTCTTGTTTTTATTCTGTTTCTTTAGGATATTTGTGTGGACTGATTTGGTCTGACGTGGATTTGAGATCTGAGAGAATGTGAGAAGAGACACAGAGTAGAACATACCGTGAGCGTTCAGTGATACGTGTGTAATGGTGTATTGTGATCCAGCGCCCTCTAGTGGATGGACACAGAACTGCTTATTGACGTATTGTTGATACATGGCTTTTCATAATTGTTTTATAAATATTTCTTTAACTTGCCTGAGTATATAAATGTGTTAAATGCCCCTAAAGTGTTATGTTTCTTGTTTAGGCTGTGAGTTGTTTAAAACGCCGTAGTTGAATATGACCAGAAATGTCCCGTGAATGTGTGATTTCATAAAAACATTAACGCACCGATTTTCACAAGCAGATCGTAGTGCAGGTCCGGGTTCAGATCACGTGACATTCTACAAAAAAGCGCTATGTGGTGAAAAAGAAAAAGGGATTTGACCCCGACGTGATTTGAACACGCAACCTTCTGATCTGGAGTCAGACGCGCTACCGTTGCGCCACGAGGTCTGTATCTTACCAGCGACAGCGTAAGTATAAGAATTGCACTTGTTAGATGGTGTGTGAATGTTATTTTATGCAAAGTACATCAATAGCGTCTCCATGGCAACACACGGATGTTGGGCCGCATCGGAAAAGTTCCATAATGCAGCTTTAGTGTGTGCGGTTAGTTTCTCTTGTGTCCTTCATTATCATGCTGTAACGAGAACCAGAATCATTAAAGAGTCATGTCCCATTTCCACTCGACGACGCACAAATCCTTATGAAAGAAGGAAGTGGGGGATACTCGTAAACAGTTAATTGAACCTAAAATATGTAAATTATCACAGTAAACATTAGTGTACGTTGGAAAAAGTATTTTTAAAACCTCTACGGACACGCTGTCACTCAGGTTTCCCTGGTGGTCTAGTGGTTAGGATTCGGCGCTCTCACCGCCGCGGCCCGGGTTCGATTCCCGGTCAGGGAACTGCGTTTTTTCTGACTCCTCAGTATTTTGCACAGTTTTAATATATTTCAAAGTCTTGTTTCTTTTTCATACGTTTCATCGTTCAAAAGGTGTGTTTTGTTGTTATTGTTTATCTTCCAGTGGTCTTCGTGTGTCATCATATTAAAACCCAAAGATGTTCTTGTTATCTATGCCACAGCAATCTATGCCACAGCAATTATAAATATTCTTTCCAGGCTGTGGTTTTGTACTTGTTCTTTAATAACTGTTAAATAATTTACTTTGTGGTTACGAACCTGCTGCAACAAATCAGAAAGGAATACAATTATAATCTTAACGACAGTGTTGACCCATTTATTTTACAAACGACACACACGGAGCTGTATCTAAAGTGAATGCGTGACGTATGCTGCCGTCGCTGCGAGATGAGAGATTAGGAGATTATAGGCCGTGGATGTTTGCAGAGCGTGCATCTTCATCCGGACTTCTCTGCAGAGGTTACGTTACGTGTTGGCAAAAGATGCTGCAGAAACAGCGTCAAGTTCCGTCAATCAGAAGACACCAGACCGGAAGTGGACATGGTTTTTGTGTTTGACGTTCACAAAGTAAGAGGGAGACCCGTGGATCTGAGGAGACCAGAGAGAGACCAGAGAGACCACAGAGAGAGACCAGAGAGACCAGAGAGACAACAGAGAGAGAGACCAGAGAAAGAGACAACCAGGAAGACCAGAGATCAGAGAGAGACCAGAGAGAGACCAGAGAGAGACCAGAGAGAGACCAGAGAAAGACCAGAGAGAGAGACCAGAGAGAGACCAGAGAGAGACCAGAGAGAGACCAGAGAAAGACCAGAGAGAGACCAGAGAGAGAGACCAGAGAGAGACCAGAGAGAGACCAGAGAGAGACCAGAGAGAGACCAGAGAGAGAGACCAGAGAGAGACCAGAGAGAGACCAGAGAAAGACTAGAGAAAGACCAGAGAAAGACCAGAGAGAGACCAGAGAGAGACCAGAGAGAGACCACAGAGAGACCAGAGAGAGAGACCAGAGAGAGACCAGAGAGAGACCAGAGAAAGACCAGAGAAAGACCACAGAGAGACCAGAGAGAGACCAGAGAGAGAGACCAGAGAGAGACCAGAGAGAGACCAGAGAGAGACCAGATAGAGAGACAAGAGAGAGACCAGAGAAAGACCAGAGAAAGACCAGAGAGAGACCAGAGAGAGAGACCAGAGAGAGAGACCAGAGAGAGACCAGAGAGACCAGAGAGAGACCAGAGAGAGACCAGAGAGAGACCAGAGAGAGAGACCAGAGAGAGACCAGAGAGAGACCAGAGAGAGAGACCAGAGAGAGACCAGAGAGAGAGACCAGAGAGAGAGACCAGAGAGAGACCAGAGAGAGACCAGAGAGAGACCAGAGAGAGACCAGAGAGAGACCAGAGAGAGACCAGAGAGAGACCAGAGAGAGAGACCAGAGAGAGACCAGAGAGAGAGACCAGAGAGAGACCAGAGAGAGAGAGACCAGAGAGAGACCAGAGAGAGACCAGAGAGAGATCAACGGCAATTATTTTCTACGCCAGGCTGTGTTTGTGTTTTGTTATTTTTGTTATTTTTGTGTCGTCTGTAACAGTTTGAGTTTTGTTTGTAGTAAATGTCTGTTAAATAAAAAACACTGAGGAGAGTTTGGAAGCAGAAACACTAACGTGAATATGAACGATCTAAAGTGTTTTATTGTGGGACCCTGTGCGGATGTGCGCCCTCCTCCTCTCTCACTTCACGCAGACTTCGTGATCAGAGACGCCGCTCTCTCTGGTCCAAATGCAGCGAGAGATCCACGGTCCTGCAGCTCCAAGGCCCCCCGCGCTGCTGCACCATCCCCGCACCGGAGACATGAAGCCCGCAGGTTCTCCGTGAGCCCCCCCCGTGAACCCTCCGTGAGCCCCCCCGTCAGTAGAGCATCACCTCCGCGGGGAGACAGGGCCGGGCGCTCGTCCACGGCAGAAGTGGATTCAGAAATCTGGGTTTGACTAAAATTATTATTATTCACGTTTTTCATCTTTGTTTGTTTGAAGCTGCGCCTCGAATAATGCTTTAAAATCTATGTTTAAGTTTTCATTCTCTTCATTTAAACAGACATTTTTGATGATATTGTTTAGCATAGTTTATTTTACATACAGCAGGTCGGATGTACATCTTGTCACGTGACACACACAGATTATTATTACAGATTATTATAAACGTTGTTGACTTAAAGCTGTCCTAAAATGACTTAATCAGACAAACCCATGACTGTCTCATTATGTTTATATACGTATTATGTAAATTCAATTCAAGTTTTATTAATGTATGTATCGCCCTGAGTCGTCTGAGGACTTTACAAAGTTGTCGATTCGCCAACAACAGACCAGAGAATCAAACTCAGGAAGTGCAATAACAACAAACACAGAGAGACATTGGTGCAGAGGGAGCGGGACAACCTCAGTCCTCGTTCTACAGTCTGAGTCCTCGTTCTACAGTCTGAGTCCTCGTTCTACAGTCTGAGTCCTCGTTCTACAGTCTGAGTCCTCGTTCTACAGTCTGAGTCCTGGGTCTACAGCCTCAGTCCTCGTTCTACAGTCTGAGTCCTGGGTCTACAGCCTCAGTCCTCGTTCTACAGTCTGAGTCCTGGATCCACAGCCTCAGTCCTCGTTCTACAGTCTGACTCCTCCCTATGAACCAATGACTCCTCTGTTGTTGGTGAATCGACTAAAACAAATCTACAGAAATTGCAGTTTTGTGATTTGCCGAAAGCTTCATGTTGACTCAAACTGACTCCTGGAGACACAGAAACACATTCAAACACAGATTCAAACACATGTGATGAACCTTCTCTCTCTGGATTAAGAAGCGACTCCCCGGATTATAATCTATGAAACTGTGATATTATTAAACCAACTCTGAGGTCAGCGGTTCTCAATCTGTGGCCACACGTCCACACTTATTATATTCACAGCCGTCATTTTGACTGTTCCCGTTCACATCCGTGGAATGATGAGAAAATCCCCCAAAAAAGTTTTGTTTTCAGTTTTATTCAAAGTAAGTATTTCATAAAACTGTTTTTAATGTAACTGAAATACATCAAAAACTGAAATGCTAAAGGCTAATGCTAACTGCGGCACGCAAACAGTGTGTTGCTATAGTAACTATACTCGCTCGTCTCTGGTGGAAACCAAGCCTCAGGACCAGGACCAGGACCAGGACCAGGACCAGGACCAGGACCAGAACCAGAACCAGCAGCAAGAAAACAGACTGAAAATGGATATATCTGAATTGTACATTGAAATGAAGAGAGCAGTCAAAATGTTTGGTGTTCTACGTTCTGAAAACCAAATGTACCGGATCAGAGCAAATACACTGCTGATCAGTCACAGATCTGAGAATATGAATCATAATTAAATACAACGTCCATCCATCCATCCATTTTCTTCCCTTTAATCCATTTCTGGGTCAGGGGGGCGGCAGTCAGAGAGACCACCCAAGTCTCATAGCACCAGCCCCTCACTGACCCTCTGCAGGTGGTGAGTCCACAGGAGGACGGCTGCTCTCTGAGTGTGAGCATAGCCTTGATCCTTCAGTGGGGGCTTTTGGGCAAAGTGGGGTTAAGTGTCTTGCCCAAGGACACAACGACAGCAGTCATCAGTGGGAGTCGGTGGAGAAGGTGCAGAGGTGGGAATAAATACAACGTATTTTACAGAATCATGTCAGACTTAAAGCTGCGGTCTCTAACTTTGAGACTGACTCTCGCTCCTGGCTCTGGTCTGGACTGGTCTGGTCTGGTCTGGTCTGGTTCGGCCTCAGCCCAAAGAGTCCCACAGAATGAACGACTGATGACTTGAACGGTACTTCCTGGTTCTGGTCGGGACTCGAGCTGTGGCGTTCTGAACGCAGACACTTCCTGTTGCATAAAGAGAAACCTTTGTTCTCGTTGTGGTCGTTTCTTAAAGCCACAGATTCTCGTTTATTTCACAGAAATTATGGTTAAAGTTTGTTTATTTATGACCAGAGCAGAGCGGGAAGCGTCCTGCAGACCTGTCAGTGTGCCCCAGGGCAGCTGTGGCTACAGTCTGTCTGTGTTGGAAGAGAAAAGATCTGCATGAAACATTATTATTATTATTATTGTTATAGTGTTTCAGACTGAGACAGAGCTTTAGACAGGAGCGTGTATGGAGCTAAAAACATGTCCAGGTCGGTCCCTGATGTGGAACATTGTGACTTCCTGTTCTTTCCTTTGTGTTTTCTCTGCTTCTCCAAACAACATGTCGGTCTCTGAAACTCGAACCCTCTGCGTTCTGAGCCGGAAGTCTCTCTTTCATGAAGCTTTTTGGATCAATACCGCGGCTCAAAAATGGAGACAATGCATTATCTTCCCCTTAATCCATTTCTGGGTCAGGGATGGACAGAGATGGCCCCAAAGTCACAGAGCACCAGCCCCTCACGGATCATCCTGCTGGGATCTTTCAGTGGAGGCTTCAGGCAAAGTGGGGTTAAGTGTCTTGCCCAATGACACAACAACAGCAGTCATCAGTGGGAGTCGGTGGAGATGATTCGAGGATTGGCCCAAAGGCTCTACCAACTGAGCTACTGTCGCCCTTCCATAGATTAGATATGAACAGGACGGAGCACATCACCCCTGTGCTCAAATCACTCACTTTAGGAACACTTAGGAACACTTAGGAACACTTAGGAACACTTTAGGAACACTTAGGAACACTTAGGAACACTTAGGAACACTTTAGGAACACTTAGGAACACTTAGGAACACTTAGGAACACTTAGGAACACTTAGGAACACTTTAGGAACACTTAGGAACACTTAGGAACACTTTAGGAACACTTAGGAACACTTAGGAACACTTAGGAACACTTTAGGAACACTTAGGAACACTTTAGGAACACTTAGGAACACTTAGGAACACTTAGGAACACTTAGGAACACTTAGGAACACTTAGGAACAGTGTTCCTTCTTCTGCAGGTGTTTGTTATTCTCTGATCTCAGTGTTAGCTTCATGCGTAAGAGGCAGATTTGAACATAAGATAGCTGTGCCAGTTTCCTTATATGGGCATTACTTTGCATCAGGTAATGCAAAGTAATGTAAATGTTTACAAAGAACCGCCCCCTCCACTCTCTGCTCCTATTGGACGAGCACGTATCACCAGAATGATTGACAGTTGGAAGGACCAACAGTCTTGATGATCCACCAGGAAGTAGACAATCCTGGACCGGATTAAAGGACATTTTGTCATCTTATGTTTAAGACTTAGACTTGAATCTGCCTTTTGCATGTGTTGTTTTAAGTTTTCTAACCGATCGAATCGTGAAACCTTTAATGGAGACTTTAGGATTCCTCGTGAAGAGATTGATAAAGGACTCGCACTCAGGACTTTACGAAAAGACGCAGGAAAAGTGTCTCGCTAACACTTCACTGCAAACACTTTCACCTCTAAGGATTATTTATTTACCCAGCCGTGCAGTCACAATGTGCTGTTATTACATCCACATTTTTATTTATGAACTGTCAGGTATGAGTCGGTGTTTTAGATAAACACTGTGAATGTTTGAGCTGAAAAGAACAACGCAGAGTTCTGTTGAGAATGATAAGTTTATTCACCGATCGTTACTGACACGGCTCTGTACGATGCAGGACGTGTTCTTCAGGACCTTAACTCTGAGTTCTTAAACCCACAGACGGAAAAGTTGCAGTATCTGTGTTTATCCAAACCTTCAGTTGTTTAAAGTGCAAAAGCTTGATTGTAACACTAGCTGTGGATTAGAATCTAAAGTGAATAAAAAGACAGAACCACCCAGAAATGGATTAAAGGGAAGAACATGGATGGATGGATGTAGTGGAAAATTTCTGCCTTGTGCATATTGTTAGAATGATGAGTTAGAGCGTTCACCGCAGAAGCTTCAAAGTGTCATGAAATATCCAAAAAAGCAAAAAATATGTTATGTAATTAATGTCTGTTAAATGAATAATATTTCGTTTGTAATATTACTGACTTTGGGAATGTCTGTTCTGAGCCTTTAGTTTGACCTGTTTGATTGAACACACCGAGGTTCACCGTTTGGTGCAGAACAAAACAGGAAGTGACAAATCCAACCACAACATCTTAGATCTGACTTTAGTTTGTTCTACTTCCTGTTTCACAGAATCACATGTTTCAGAAAAAACTGCTGCAGCAGAAGAACTATGACTGTTCTTATACTAGAGTACTTATAAGTACTTTTACTAGAGCACTTATACTAGAGTACTTATACTAGAGTACTTATAAGTACTTTTACTAGCGCACTTATACTAGAGTACTTATACTAGAGTACTTATAAGTACTTTTACTAGAGCACTTATACTAGAGCACTTATACTAGAGTACTTATACTAGAGTACTTATACTAGAGTACTTATAGGTACTTACACTAGAGTTCTTATAAGTACTTTTAAGTACTTATACTAGAGTACTTATGAGTACTTATACTAGAGTACTTATGAGTACTTATACTAGAGTACTTATGAGTACTTATACTAGAGTACTTATGAGTACTTATACTAGAGTACTTATGAGTACATATACTAGAGTACTTATGAGTACTTATACTAGAGTACTTATGAGTACATATACTAGAGTACTTATGAGTACATATACTAGAGTACTTATGAGTACTTATACTAGAGTACTTATGAGTACTTATACTAGAGTACTTATGAGTACTTATACTAGAGTACTTATGAGTACTTATACTAGAGTACTTATGAGTACATATACTAGAGTACTTATGAGTACATATACTAGAGTACTTATGAGTACTTATACTAGAGTACTTATGAGTACTTATACTAGAGTACTTATGAGTACTTATACTAGAGTACTTATGAGTACTTATACTAGAGTATAGGGCTGGGCGATATAAACAATATAAACAGTATGTGATTCAAATTTGGCCAACGACAGAGATTGGTGTTATTCCGGCGCATCAGTTTCAGTACTTATGAGTACTTATGAGTACTTATGCTAATCTAGTTAAGTATTTATACTCGAGTAGACAAAGAAAGATAATGTTGTTTTTCTGTTTGTCACAGAGAAGACAAGGCCTGAGCGTCGACACAGCACCATGGGCTACAAGGTGAGTCTGTGATTATACAGGTGTAATGTACAGGTGTATACAGGTGTAACATACAGGTGTTAGGTACAGGTGTGACTGTAATGGTCTCTCTCTCTGTAACAGTCTCTCTCTCTGTAACAGTCTCTCTCTCTGTAACGGTCTCGCTCTCTGTAATGGTTTCTCTCTCTGTAATGGTCTCTCTCTGTAATGGTCTCTCTCTCTGTAACAGTCTCTCTCTCTGTAACGGTCTCTCTCTCTCTGTAACGGTCTCTCTCTCTGTAACGGTCTCTCTCTCTGTAATGGTCTCTCTCTGTAATGGTCTCTCTCTCTGTAACAGTCTCTCTCTCTGTAACGGTCTCTCTCTCTCTGTAACGGTCTCTCTCTCTGTAACGGTCTCTCTCTCTGTAATGGTCTCTCTCTCTCTCTGTAATGATCTCTCTCTCTGTAACAGTCTCTCTCTCTGTAACGGTCTCTCTCTCTGTAACGGTCTCTCTCTCTGTAATGGTCTCTCTCTCTGTAATGGTCTCTCTCTCTGTAACAGTCTCTGTAACAGTCTCTCTCTCTGTAACGGTCTCTCTCTCTGTAATGGTCTCTCTCTCTGTAACGGTCTCTCTCTGTAACAGTCTCTCTCTCTGTAACGGTCTCTCTCTCTGTAATGGTCTCTCGCTCTGTAACGGTCTCTTGCTCTGTAACGGTCTCTCTCTGTAACGGTCTCTCTCTCTGTAATGGTCTCTCTCTCTGTAATGGTCTCTCTCTCTGTAATGGTCTCTCTCTCAGTAATGGTCTCTCTCTCTGTAATGGTCTCTTTCTCAGTAATGGTCTCTCTCTCTGTAACGGTCTCTCTCTCTGTAACGGTCTCTCTCTCTGTAATGGTCTCTCTCTCAGTAATGGTCTCTCTCTCTGTAACGGTCTCTCTCTCTGTAACGGTCTCTCTCTCAGTAATGGTCTCTCTCTCTGTAACGTCTCTCTCTCAGTAATGGTCTCTCTCTGTAATGGTCTCTCTCTCTGTAATGGTCTCTCTCTGTAATGGTCTCTCTCTCTGTAATGGTCTCTCTCTCTGTAATGGTCTCTCTCTCTCTGTAACGGTCTCTCTCTCTGTAACAGTCTCCCTCTCTGTAACGGTCTCTCTCTCTCTGTAACGGTCTCTCTCTCTGTAACGGTCTCTCTCTCTGTAATGGTCTCTCTCTCTCTGTAATGATCTCTCTCTCTGTAACGGTCTCTCTCTCTGTAACAGTCTCTCTCTCTGTAACGGTCTCTCTCGCTCTGTAACGGTCTCTCTCTCAGTAACGGTCTCTCTCTCTGTTACGGTCTCTCTCTCTGTAACGGTCTCTCTCTGTAATGGTCTCTCTCTCTGTAATGGTCTCTCTCTCTGTAACGGTCTCTCTCTGTAACAGTCTCTCTCTCTGTAATGGTCTCTCTCTCTGTAACAGTCTCTCTCTCTGTAACGGTCTCTCTCTCTGTAATGGTCTCTCTCTCTGTAACAGTCTCTCTCTCTGTAACGGTCTCTCTCTCTTCTGTAATGGTCTCACTCTCTGTAACGGTCTCTCTCTGTAATGGTCTCTCTCTGTAACTGTCTCTCTCTCTGTAATGGTCTCTCTCTCTCTGTAATGGTCTCTCTCTCTGTAACGGTCTCTCTCTCTGTAACGGTCTCTCTCTAATGGTCTCTCTCTCTGTAACGGTCTCTCTCTGTAATGGTCTCTCTCTGTAACGGTCTCTCTCTCTGTAATGGTCTCTCTCTGTAATGGTCTCTCTCTCTGTAATGGTCTCTCTCTGTAATGGTCTCTCTCTCTGTAACGGTCTCTCTCTCTGTAACGGTCTCTCTCTCTGTAATGGTCTCTCTCTGTAACGGTCTCTCTCTCTGTAACGGTCTCTCTCTCTGTAATGGTCTCTCTCTGTAACGGTCTCTCTCTCTGTAATGGTCTCTCTCTGTAACGGTCTCTCTCTCAGTAATGGTCTCTCTCTGTAATGGCCTCTCTCTCTGTAACGGTCTCTCTCTCTGTAACGGTCTCTCTCTCTGTAATGGTCTCTCTCTGTAACGGTCTCTCTCTCTGTAATGGTCTCTCTCTCTGTAATGGCCTCTCTCTCTGTAACGGTCTCTCTCTCTGTAACGGTCTTTCTCTCAGTAATGGTCTCTCTCTGTAACGGTCTCTCTCTCTGTAATGGTCTCTCTCTGTAACGGTCTCTCTCTCTGTAATGGCCTCTCTCTCTGTAACGGTCTCTCTCTCTGTAACGGTCTCTCTCTCAGTAATGGTCTCTCTCTCTGTAACGGTCTCTCTCTCAGTAATGGTCTCTCTCTCTGTAACGGTCTCTCTCTCTGTAACGGTCTCTCTCTCAGTAATGGTCTCTCTCTCTGTAACGTCTCTCTCTCAGTAATGGTCTCTCTCTCTGTAATGGTGTCTCTCTGTAACGGTCTCTCTCTCTGTAACGGTCTCTCTCAGTAATGGTCTCTCTCTCTGTAACGGTCTCTCTCTCTGTAACGGTCTCTCTCTCAGTAATGGCCTCTCTCTCTGTAACGTTCTCTCTCTCTGTAACGGTCTCTCTCTCAGTAATGGTCTCTCTCTCTGTAACGGTCTCTCTCTCAGTAATGGTCTCTCTCTCTGTAACGGTCTCTCTCTCTGTAACGGTCTCTCTCTCAGTAATGGTCTCTCTCTCTGTAATGGCCTCTCTCTCAGTAATGGTCTCTCTCTCTGTAATGGTCTCTCTCTGTAACGGTCTCTCTCTCAGTAATGGTCTCTCTCTCTGTAATGGCCTCTCTCTCAGTAATGGTCTCTCTCTCTGTAATGGTCTCTCTCTGTAACGGTCTCTCTCTCTGTAACGGGCTCTTTCTGTAATGGCCTCTCTCTCAGTAATGGTCTCTCTCTCTGTAATGGCCTCTCTCTCAGTAATGGTCTCTCTCTCTGTAATGGTCTCTCTCTGTAACGGTCTCTCTCTCTGTAACGGTCTCTCTCTCAGTAATGGTCTCTCTCTCTGTAATGGTCTCTCTCTCTGACACCATAGTGGCCCAGGTCGATGGTATGAAGGGCACACATGGTATAGAGATTGATTTGTGCTTCAGTGACTCACTCAGACTGAATGCACAGGATCAATGCAGCTGTGAGCCTCTGGGCATGAGCACTTCTCCACAGACTCACATCAAGGCAAAGCCAAACACAGCTGCAGGTCACATCCACGCAGCATCCATAACAAAGCTGCCGATTCTCCGACACAGATCAGAGAATCAGACACACAGAGCCATCGGTCCATAAGGAGCAGAGACCGATGTCAACTGCATGATTTTAGTGATAGGGGAAACCGGAGCACCAGGAGGAAACCTATGCAGACGCAGGGAGAGGACCTTCTTACAGTTTTTTCCTGTTGCTTGAACACTATAGACATACGCTTAGACCAAAGTTGCAGAACTTGAAGCTTTTGTTCTAAACTTAAAACACAGACTGACCATTCCTTAAACAAAAGTACTGCTTTGCACTTTGCTTTCATTTCTACAACACACTTTCTCCTTTTGCAACACACTTTCTCTTTCTGCAACACACTTTCTCCTGCTCACTACACACTGTGTCATACATAAGACACTTTGTGCATATTGGAAATCCTGTGTTATCGTTGGGAAAACACATCTATTCAAAATACCAAACACATTGTGTGACTAAAAACACTGAGACACACACCAGAAAACACTGAATTACAAAATGCAACACACATCAGACAGACACAAACAGGCTTCAGTTTAGCCATTTTCAGAACTTTGCAAGTTTGAAGGCAGGAAGAGCAAGACAGAGGAAGACAAGGAGTTTAAGAGGATTAAAACAACACAATATTTTTATGACATTAGAGCAACTTTTGTGGATCTTGTGATAAACCACCGCCTCAAACTGAGGGAAGCAGAGAGTCCAGACAAGGTCCTTCAGGACCTACATGTTTCCAACGCTCTACTGCAGACTGTACCTATAGTATTTACAGTACTGTATCACATGTACTGTAAGTTTCTACTGCAGACTGTATCTACAGTATTTACAGTACTGTATGACGTGTACTGTAAGTCTCTACTGCAGACTGTATCTACAGTATTTACAGTACTGTATCACATGTACTGTAAGTCTCTACTGCAGACTATACCTACAGTATTTACAGTACTGTATCACATGTACTGTAAGTCTCTACTGCAGACTGTATCTACAGTATTTACAGTACTGTATCACATGTACTGTAAGTCTCTACTGCAGACTGTACCTACAGTATTTACAGTACTGTATCACATGTACTGTAAGTCTCTACCGCAGACTGTATCTACAGTATTTACAGTACTGTATCACATGTACTGTAAGTCTCTACTGCAGACTGTATCTACAGTATTTACAGTACTGTATCACATGTACTGTAAGTCTCTACTGCAGACTGTATCTACAGTATTTACAGTACTGTATCACATGTACTGTAAGTCTCTACTGCAGACTGTATCTACAGTATTTACAGTACTGTATCACATGTACTGTAAGTTTCTACTGCAGACTGTACCTACAGTATTTACAGTACTGTATCACATGTACTGTAAGTCTCTACTGCAGACTGTACCTACAGTATTTACAGTACTGTATCACATGTACTGTAAGTCTCTACTGCAGACTGTATCTACAGTATTTACAGTACTGTATCACATGTACTGTAAGTCTCTACTGCAGACTGTACCTACAGTATTTACAGTACTGTATCACATGTACTGTAAGTCTCTACTGCAGACTGTATCTACAGTATTTACAGTACTGTATCACATGTACTGTAAGTCTCTACTGCAGACTGTACCTACAGTATTTACAGTACTGTATCACATGTACTGTAAGTTTCTACTGCAGACTGTATCTACAGTATTTACAGTACTGTATCACATGTACTGTAAGTCTCTACTGCAGACTGTATCTACAGTATTTACAGTACTGTATCACATGTACTGTAAGTCTCTACTGCAGACTATACCTACAGTATTTACAGTACTGTATCACATGTACTGTAAGTCTCTACTGCAGACT